TTATCTTCCTTGCTACCAAGATGTTCAGTCTCATCCACCTTCTGATCCATCTGTCCTGTCCCATTCAGTCCCCCTCCCAAGTGGTTCTATTTTGCCTTCCACTCCCTACAGGCACAGCTGTCTCTGTCTTTTCCTTCTCTCTGTCCTCCATTAGCAGGCACGTTCCCCCTCCACCCCCAACCTCCAACCCCCATCTCAGCAGAATTTATTCTATCTTCCTTCCTCCTCTCTGCTTTCCATCCCCCCTGCTAGCACTCAGATAACAATGAAGACAAGCATTGTATTAGACCCTGACAAGAATATTCCATCCCCATTCCCTCCTCCCTGTCCTACAGAAGCTGTTCTATCTCTGTGAGAGTTTTTTCCTTTGCTGGCTCTATTTCTACATCTGCATTTGTTCTATATGCACCTCCAGTGACAGCTACTGTACCCAGGTCAGGCACTAGTGCAGGTGGGAGTGCCTGGCTTGGTTCACCCTAGAACCAAGGCCAACCCTTCTCATGCCTGCTCACTGCAGACATGGGGTACTTATTAGCCTTTCTATCCACTTCACTCTGAAGGGCCCTGAGATGCTTTGTGTCCATTTTGCCACTAACATCCTAGCTTAGTGGAAACCAGACCAGCTTTACAGCTCTATCTCTATCCTCCTAAACTATTGCTTTTATAATGTTTTGACACCTTTTGTTTTCTTCTGGTACTAAAAGAATTAAATTCCCCTTTAGTTACATTTTTCAGAGTAGCAGCCTGTTAGTCTGTATTCACAAAAAGAAAAGGAGTACTAGTGGCACCTTAGAGACTAACCAATTTATTTGAGCATAAGCTTGCGTGAGCTACAGCTCACTTCATTGGGTGCATTCAGTAGATGCATCCAATGAAGTGAGCTGTAGCTCACGAAAGCTTATGCTCAGATACGTTTGTTAGTCTCTAAGGTGCCACAAGTACTCCTTTTTTTAAAAATTACATTATAAGTTTTTACTACTTTGTCACTTTAAATTTTTTCATGTAATTTCTAGTATTTCTAGAGAGGGGGAGACTGCTTTGCTCTGGACTTGTGCCCGCAATGCTATATGATGACTGGAGAAGCGTATTGGCTGCCGCTGGATGTGGTACAACGAATGCCAGGAGCTGGGAGTGAAGAACACGGATCACACTATTATCACTCCAAGAGCTAGAACCATGCTGTAGAGGACCCTGAAGGATGCCATCCGCTGCCAATATGTGGAAAACCTGAAATGTAAGCCAGGCCAGAACAAGGCATTCAAGGTGACATGCAAGGTGGGACGCCAGCGAACACTTCCTCCCCAGGGGCAGCTTCACCCAATTTGCCAACTGGAGGTTCATCTGCAGGGCCTGGCTCAACTGCGTCCTGCTGAATGGAGCCATCCACCACAGGAATCGGGACAAGTGATGCAGTAAGTGTGGCTATATCAATGAGACGCTACCCCACGTCCTGTGTAGCTGCAAGCCCCATTCCAGAGACTGGCAGCTGCGACACAACGCCATCCAAGATTGCCTGGCCAGAGCCATCCTACCATCCGTGGAGAAGGTTGCTGTGAACTCCGCCATCCCTGGGACCGACAGCCAACTGCGACCAGACATCATCATTACCAATGTGGACCAAAAGAAGATCATCATGGTGGATGTCACAGGACCCTTCGAGAATAGGACCCCGGCCTTCCATGATGCCCAAGCTCGAAAGGTGGAGAAATACGCCCCTCTGGCCAAAACCTTGAGCGCTAAAGGTTACCAGGTTCAGACACGCGCACTGATCGTCAGGTGCATGGGACGAGCAAGTATTGAGAGAATGTGGAATTGGTCAACGCTACACTCAGCTGATGCGGCAACTCATGGCGTCGGATGCCATCAGATGGTCAAGGGACATTTACATAGAACACATCACTGGACATCGACAATACCAGGAGGGATGAGCTGGAGTGCTGATGAGAAGCGCAGTCAGGCAAATAATTGAAATAATTCCCTCATGGATTATATTTTCTAAATGGACAACCCACCTAATTCTCAATTACTGAGGAACAATCTTCATTTATTGATATATGTGCTTTCCACAGCTAACTCTCTGTATAACTTTTAATGAATGATGTACCCAAATACTTGGATGCTAAGATCTAAACTGTATTCTTCAATTTACACCTAAATTTGGGTAGCTGCTGATTATGCACTATATCTATCTCATGACTTTATCCACAAATACCAAGTTTGTTTTTAATCTAAGCACTATACTCAGATGTACAGACTCGTTTCTCAACCTGTGTATTATATAATTTTAACAATAGTTTTAATATTTTTTTTATGTCTAGAGGCCCCATTTGAGGATCAGGGCCCTATTGTGCTCAGAACTGTGTAGACATGTGATATATAAGATAGTCCTTGCTGCAGACAAGTCAGCGTTAATGGCAGGATGCAACAACAGGATGTTTGAAGAAATTAACTTAATAGGAATTTCTGCACATAAAGACGTCTTGTTTTCAAACAACAATCTGATTAGCTTACTAGCCTTTGGGTGCCAAGTTCACATCTGATAAAAGTAAGGATAACTTATTTTGTGGGAAGTTGTATGGTATTTCATGGAAGCTCTATGGCATGTGTTAGCCAGGAGGTCAGACTAGACGATGACAGTAGTCTCTTCTGGCCTAAGAATCTATGAATCCTACTAATTATTTTTGTGAGGCCAGGATCTTTTCTTAGGTAAAACTCCCTCATGCAGGTGTTTTGAGGCCATGTGTTCCTATCAGGTGACATGTAACTGAAGGGCAAACAGAGGGGAACATTTCTAAGACACCATGAATTTTCCTCTTGAGGAAAGTCAGAAAGGGGAAGCCATATTCCTTACCAACTATCTAAATACAAGCCCTGTAAGCACCAAGATAGGGACAAGATAGCTTTTCCTTGTGGTGTGGACTGGTCCAAGGATTACTTTTTATGAAAGAGAATCTCTGATTGGCGATGATGGTCTACCCCAAGTCCTTAAGAGTTTTGACCCACCCTTGCTGAGATGGCTCCAGGGCAATTCTGAGTGGCCTGAGAGGCCAGGGACACTGTACCTGCCCCCTCCCCCCGGCTCTGAACCCGGGCCAAGTGCGGGCCTGCAGGCTGGGGGTGGCTGTGCACAACATGGGGGAGATCAGACGGGCAGGGGCCGTATTTGCTATGGGGCAAGGGGCAGTTGCCTCCTGACTTTCCCTAGGTCTAGTTGCACCGCCCCCCGGCCCGTCCCCTCACGGAGAGCCAGACCCCGACAAGGCCCCTGGAGACCCCGCCCACACCCCCCAGGCAGCTCGCTCGCTCCCGCCCTCCGCGCGCACAGCGGGCGCACCACTGGGCACCGCCCCCCCCGCCTCTAGGGGGTTGTTCTAGCTGCCGCTGCCACTCCCGCCTCCTCGCCGGCTCTTCCTCCTGCCTCCCTCCTCGCGGAAGCTGTTTCACTCACAACCCTCCCCCCCGCCCCTTTCTGGGCGTCACGCAGGCTGTTCCATCTTCTTCCCACCCTCCCCACCACCAGCTGTTCCTGAACCTCCCTCCCTCTGCTCCCGCCGCGCCTGTTCCTCCCACTCTTCGTCAGTGGCTGCCGCATCCGGGTCCTGGCGCCGCTGTCACTATGGTCATGGCGGAGGGGACGGCTGTGCTGAGGCGGAACAGGCCGGGCACCAAGGCCCAGGTGAGGCGCCGCGCCCCAGCCGCCTCCTGCCCGCGCGGGGCTTGGGGCTGGCAGCAGCGGGCGGGCTGGGCCTGCTCGGCCGCCGCGCTCACGCGGGCTGGAGCCGGTGCGGTCGGTCCCGTCCCGGCGCGGAGCCGCTGGGCCTCCCCGGCCCCGTGCGGGGCGCCAGTGGCGGGCGGGCGGGTGCGGGGTTGGGCGGCGTCCGCGCTGGCCGGGGCTGGGCCGGGCGGCCCGCAGCGGGCTCTGGCTACCCGCTGCCGCGCTGGGCCCGGCTCGCCTGGTAGGGACCCGCGCTCGGGTTGTCACCGGGGCCGGGCAGCTCCGGGCTGCTCCCCGCCCGGCTGGTGCTGCTCGCCTCGCTCCGGCTGCCCCGGCCGGGGCTGGCAGCGCTTCTCGCCGCCCTGGGGGGCCTGGGTGTGGATTCCCCCTGCCCGCCTGGCGGGGGTGAGTCTGTTCCGTGTTTACCCCTGTCGGTAAAGGTGTTTTCTCCGCTGGGATTGACCGGGAGTCCCCCTCCCAGGGACCTAGAGGTTCAGGAGTCTCCGGTCATAAAAAAGAGTCCGAGTCGCTAAATGTCAGTGACTACATCTGAAGTAATCCTACACTTACGTGCATCTTTTCATCCTGATGGTGTGTGTGAATTACTTCACCAGCCACTGACAGGCAGCCACCTCTGAGGTGAAATTTTATACCTTTTTAACAGCAACTAGTAAAGTTACATAATGGTTTAGGATGGAAAATGAACAAAACATTCAATCAGAAAAAAGCAGGCAGTATATTTGGTCCGATGAAGGAATAATAGCTAAGTGTCTTGGCGGAGTTAGGCTAACACCCCATCATAACAACCCAGAGGTGCTGCTGGAAGTACCACATTAGTCCTATCTTGCCGGTCAGTTGTGAAATCACTTTAATACCACTTCCTTTAGAACCCCGGACTTCTTTTTGGGGTCTCTAAGTATTAACCAGATCGAACTCTTCTTAACATGTGAAAAGGAATGGAAGAAATGACATTTACAGTATTACAAGTCAAGCAAAGCTTTAGCTTTAATTTAAAGATATGAAATACCTTTGTGGTAGCTCCTTTATTGTAAGTTTCATATTTTGGTTCTTCGGAGGGTGAGCATCAGTCCCATATAGTCCTTCGCAACTTTGTCTGCTTCCTCTCTTTCTAGATGTAGTTTCCTGTTTGTTAGAACTGTAAAGATTATTTTTCTACAGCATGTTGAAGTTTCCTGATATTAAGCATTCAGAATTTGCTGCAAATGACGTGCTCTCTTTTCCACCCTTTATTAAACTGGTTTAAATTTGGGTGTTTTTTCCATAGGATTTTTACAATTGGCCTGATGAATCCTTTGAAGAAATGGATAGCACACTAGCTGTTCAACAGGTATTTTTTGTTTTAATAAATATTTTTTCAGGTGTTTAAGTTTAGTCACCCAAATCTTGTGACTTTTAGCAAGATGTAAGCAACAGGGCACAGTCTCTTCTTGGTTGTGATATAGTTGTACAAAAATAACTTCATAATTCCATAGAGAAATAGAAATCAGTGTACTGGTTAATACAGTAATTTTGTGCGTAGAAATCACGAGAATCCTGGTGTCCAGTTTCACCAGTTGAACAGGTTTTATTGCTACCTGGTAAAACTCACTGCTCCTCTTACCATTTCTCATTCAGGGAAGACGTTTTTCACACACTGTATTTTGGGATATTCGCTTTGTTACTTCTCCGCTATCGCTACTTTTTTTTTTTTTGTCCTCTTACTTTGGTCCATCAACATAGCTGTTCACTTCCACCTAGACTAGACTAAAGAAATAAGTAGCTGTTATCCTTACTGTAGTGGCTAGTAGGTATATATCAAAGTAGCTAGAGTTGTGGGGCAATCCTAAATATGGTGTCTTACTATCTTTAAATAACTTTCAGAAATTATTACTTTTTCTTCTCAGTATATCCAACAAAACATAAGGGCAGACTGTTCTAACATTGACAAAATCCTGGAACCTCCTGAAGGGCAAGATGAAGGTGTATGGAAGTACGAACATTTACGGTAAGAATTCATGTTTTGTCAAAATGTAGAATCAGGAAACCCAACCCATTGATTAGCAGTAGTAATGAATCATAATAGTCGGAATCTCATAGACTCTAAATATTTTTGTTTATGACTGAAAGAAAAAAAACTCTACAAGAGCAAAACTTTGTACTATTAAACATCTTAGAATTATGTATTAGTAATAGATTTGTAGTCTTAAAAATGGAATTTATTTGCTCCTTTTCTAATTACCAAGTTCACTGTTGTGAGCATTCCCTTAAACTCCCTTTTGCTTTTAAAAGTTTGTGATATCAACTTACGTGTGTGTTTGTCTTCTTTTAAATAAATCTTTGCAGTTCATTTCTAGAACTATGTCAGTATGGACTGAAAGGACAGCCATGAGTTTCCATAGCACCTCCTCCCATCAATCTCATCAATTCCTTACTTTCGCTTACTAAAATATGAATATTGTCATCAGTAGATGCTCTCCAGAATAGCTGTTAGTCATGAGGCCTGTTTTTAACAAACTGAAAGAAAATATTTTTTGCAGTAAACATGTTCTCTGTTTTTATTGCAGTCACTATCAGAGAAATCTTGACAATTTTTCTGGCCTTCTCTTTATGTCTGTTAGCTGTTATAATACATTGGTTAAGCTGGCTACCTAGATGCCTTTTATGTTTCCAAACTGTCCTTGTCACTGAAAATATTTATTTTATTATAGTACAGACTCAATATTCTGCTAACTGATATTTCCACCCTTATTCCTGCTTTGGTTTTTACATCACTTTGCTAAGATTAGTGTCCTGGCATTCTGAAAAAAATCAGTTTTTTCCTTAGTTTGACTGTCTTGTCAGTCCATCACCATACATTTTGAAGGGTAAGAATAGTTTTAAGTTAGTGCCTCCCAATGAGAGTTAGGCATGTAGGTTCTTTTAAAAATCCTACTAGGCACCTAAATACCTTTAAAAATGTGGCACTTGGGAGCCTAAATCCCAATGATTTTTAATGAGATGTAGGCTCTTAAGTGCCTATATTTCTTTTGAAAATGGGACTGAGGTGGCTAAGTTAGTCACTTCTGAAAATTTTACCCTGCCTCCTCTGAAGCGTTAAACCTTCTGCTAGCGTATGCCTGAGAGTGAGGCAAGCAGCATCTTCCACACATAGCCTCACTGCATTACACCTCAACTCTGGCTGACTTAAAGAGAGGTACTCCTGGAGGTCTCGGTAGTATTCTCTTGAGCATTTGGGATGGCACTAAAGCCTCAGAATTAGACTTTCAGGATATATAGCATAGATAGGTTTGATCAGTTTGCACCTTATAATGTGTTTTTCTTCAGTGCATGTTTTAAGGGATTTTGCTTTTTTTTTTTTTTTTCCTCCCCCTTCCTTAAACATGAATTGATATCAAAAGCAAATTTGTAAAATGTAGATTTTCCTAAGGGAGAAAATATTATTTTCCTAGTCTCTTCTATTGGAATACTGTTCAGTTTATCCTTTTTGACAAAGGAGAAAACTAGAATATAGTTGTATGAGTTCCTCTGAACGAATAATAAATTAAATTTTCTGACTTATCTTTTTGTATTCCTGTCCTCTTATAGTCTCCTCTTATTTTTTATTTTCTTCTTTGTATATTCTACAGATATGTCCACAGATTCTAAATATGTCATAGCTGCTGAAATTATTTTGAACATTGTTTACATTTGATCTCATTCCTCTTCTGCTTTCTACACCCCAGTCAATGTAATGTAATTGTTAAAAATGCTAGAGATGCATAAAACCATTAGCTTTTATGACAAGTTGTTCTTTGTGTTAAAATGTTTCCATTAGGGAAACTGTTTTGACAATGCTGTATTTAAATTTCTAGACAATTCTGTCTCGAGCTCAATGGACTTGCTGTCAAGCTTCAGGTAACTCTTTTCTTGTTCTCTAATGTTTGTGTCAGAGACCAGGTTGTTTTTGTATTTTTAGATGTAATATTAGCTCGCAAAGCTTTGCAAACTTTTAGTTCACATTTTTTAGCCACCATGATTTTAGGAACATAGTTTTAGCATTCCAGAAGTCTTTAGTTGATCAGGTAGCTTTAAAATATTTTTCTGATTTTAAGGAATTGGGAGTTAAATTCTTTTAATAATGATTAAATCTTGCTTTCTCTGTTTGGTATTTTATTAACCGAACAACTGTTTCAACAGAGTGAATGCCACCCAGATACATGCACTCAGATGACAGCAACTGAACAATGGATTTTTCTTTGTGCAGCCCATAAAACGCCCAAAGAGGTAAGGAGGATATTTTTTGAAATATATCTGTAAAGGCCCATATTTTCTTCAGTGATCCATGCACCGAAGGGGCCGTCCGTGCATATCTTGTCTTAGTCAAATTGAAGGGATATGTGGGAATGCGACTTTCATAGCAGAACTCCCTGCTTGCTTCTCACATCCTCCGTAGTGACTCATAGGAGGCAGAAGAGCAGGGAACCAGCTGCTCTCCATAACAGTCTCATACAGATCCCTACTTCCCCCTCACCTTTTGTGTGGGAATCTGGAAGAGTAATATAGCTTTAATCTGTATTACATTTTCTCTGGTCACCTCCATAGTTGTTACTGGGCAGCAGAAAGGGATTTCTTTTTTATCAGATCGAGCTGCCTTTCTCTGCAGTTTCATGGAGTTGGAAGGCTTCCTCTCTTTCTCCCCACCTCCCTGTGGACTCTCAAGTCCCTGCTCCTGGTGACAACTTGCAGGGAATTCTGCAATGGGAACCTCTGCATCTTCAGCTCCTCTGACACCCTCCTGTGGCTTTCTCCTTGCAAAGGGCCATTCTGGCCCTTGGATTTTGACCTTAGTTAGTTTTTATGCAAATTTCAGTAGTAAGACTGTAGACTGCTGAGTAGTCTGACTTAATTTTTCTGTACTGGTGCATGAACAATCAGTAACATTTAATGCATGCTTGGTAGGCCCTGGTATACCAATGCATGCTTGGTAGGCCCTGGTATACAACTGTTCACATTACAACCATCATTATGTTGAGAGTCTTAGCAAAGAGATCAAGGACTAAGTAGTCATGGAGACCACTTTCTTCTCAGCCTTGGAGAAAGTTTCCTTTTTAGGGGTGGGTTGAGGCACTCAGGTGGGATGCTTTGGGGTGCTTGCCGTGCTATTGTATTAGCTGCTGTACAGATCAATAAAAATGCCTGTTCCATAGCTAGAAGTTCAACATCTTTCACCAGAAATAATGTGCACTGGGGGGGGAAACGTAATAAGCACATGATGACACCTTCCCTTTGAAGTAAGTGAAGAAAGAAGTTTGGGGGAGGTGGGAAACAAACTTTCTCAAACAGAAATGGAATTGGAAGTGAACATACAAAATCAGAAAAAGGGACTATCCAGAATCTTGGTTCGTGTTTTTAGTTTTTTCCTTTTCCTCACTGAAACTGACTTTTGTATGTTCTTAATAATTGGAAAGTAGTTAAGTGGCCAGGCTAAAACTGAATGAATATTACATGAGTTTACTTCTTATTTTCTACGTCCTCAAGCTAACAGTGTTTGTCATCTAAAATTCAGTACAGAATAATTATGGGGTATTGATGAGGAGATGGGAAATTGATATTTTGCTACCCGTTCATAGGTGTGTTGATATGTTTCACGTGTCCAGACCAACCAAGTTGTAGTGTATTAGTTTGGAATACTTGTCACTCAGTCAATGAGATCTGTCATTAACCCTGCATGATTTAAACAGTTAAGTATGGGGATTTTAATTTTTCCATGGCTTGGTCTGCTACAGCACAGACCATGGGCTGGTTCCTTCTAGTATGTTGACAGGCACAATGATGACCAATCACAGCCAGGATTTTCACACTCTCCAGTTCTTTCTCTGCTTTTCCAGTTTGTCCTGCCTCGCTCTGAGTAACATGCAGGAATGTTGCCCTACTCTCCTCAAGAGAATTTTTCTAGCAGCTTGGAACACCCAGAGAAGGTTAAAATTGAGGGTGGGAAATACCACAGTTGTCCCTCTTGCACCATTGCATTAAGCATGTTGTGCGTTCACTTGAACTAGCTATCACAGGAGTCTGATTAGGAGACAACCTGGAACATCCAGGTGAAAAGATCTTTGCTCTGTTGGGAAAATCAACACAAACGAGGGATAGGCTTCCTTCTCCAGGGGCCAGCCAATCTCATGACAGTGTGAGATGCCGCGTGGATATTCAGCCTTGTCGAGGACACAGTCCTACAGGGAGAGGCAGCTTCACAAACTGTGGGGTATCAGACTAGTCCTGTTAGCACCTCAAGAGCAGGTCAAAGGAGAGTGCGTCTTCAAATTCTGACCGTGTTATAGAGTTATGTATTTGAATGTCCAAGCACATGGAACATTACCCAAGCTCCTGTCTGAGTCACCCAGTTGGTGAACTTATATTTTCTTACCTTCAGAGTGGCTTTCCTGGTGGCTGTTGGTTTAGAGGATAATAGAGCTGTCTGTCTTATCTGATCTCTCTTCATACCTAGTCTTCCGTAATCATAGTGTGTTCCTTTAAAATTGTTCCAGTTGTTTTGCCCAAAGTCCTCCCCCCTTTAACTTAAACCAGATGAAGTGATTACGAGGTGAACTGCATTTTCGACCCCTTTCACTGCCTCTTGAGTATACCCCTCAGGTGACAGATGTTGTTACCTTCACCCTTCTTTGGGTGGATTCATGTGGTCCTACCACTGTTAGACTGGATCTTTCAGCTGCAGCCTCCCTGTTCACCAACTGTGTTAACCTGACAAACCCAACTGTATTTGGCACATGTAAGCCCTTTTTCCTTGGCAACCTGACAGCAGCTGATTTAAATGGACTCTAAAACAGCTTCTTCAAAACAAAGCATTATTTGTTCACCCCAAAGGTACATAGCATGCAGAGCAAAGGGATAAGTTCTATACACAGATTAAGGTTTAGATAAGGGGGAAAAAATATTTTCAAGCTCTAGTACGTTCCATTCAGCCCAGTTATCTCCACATCTGGGTTGGGAGAAGCTTTGACTCTCATTCTTCCTCTCCTAGGTAGGGCGGGATTTATTGTAAGTTATTGGAGAAATGGGTGGAGCACAAGGAGTGGGAAGATCATGGACTCTGATCCTGCTTGTCAAAGCAACTGAGAAGCAGTCCATAATCTGCCCTCATGACTGAGCCATGGAAGCCAAACTAACTTGTAGGCGGTGGGATGAATTTTTTTTCTTTGGCAGTGTTCTTCCATTATAGAACTTCTGTCATGTCAGTTGCTAAAGAGCTAAAGTGCCACCGGACTCCTAGTTGCTAAAGAGACACTTAATTAGAACATCATCTACTCCTGTGCATATGCCCCATCTCCAAAACAAGCATCCTCCTGAAATAACGCAATAAGGGGTACTTGGAGCTATAAGTAATAAAACATAGGAAACAGAGACAGCTCTAATGTGGGGGAAGTTTACTCAGACCCTTATAGAAACTCTGTAAAACTTCTGGAATTCAAAATGGCTATGTGATATATCAGACAATTCTGTGTAAAATATTATGTGTGATGCAGTGTCATACCTGTTTTCCCCTCCTAATATTTTTTAGTGTCCTGCTATAGACTATACCAGGCACACGCTTGATGGAGCTGCATGTCTTCTGAATAGCAATAAATATTTCCCCAGCAGGTAAAACTCCTAGAAGCATCATCTTTAATTTTTTTTGTGGGGAGGTGGGGTTGTTTTACATTCAGAAAATCTTGTTCATAGGTGGAACAAATCTGAAACAGTTTTTGGTAACGCAAATTGTTTTTCATGTATCTAGTAGAATAAAATACTGTATTGTTCATGTACAGCATTGCAGAATATGATGAAAAATACTAAATGTGGCAGCATGTCCACAGTTACTGTTAAGTATGGGAAGAGGTCTGCCACCAGCTTGTTAGAGGTAAAACAGAGGTGTTTAAGGGAATATATTACCAATGCAATTTAATCAAGTTGGGTTTTTCAGTGTGGTCCAGGACTCTAGGTTTCCAGTGGGGAAAATCCCACCTCAAAGGAGGGAGGGAGTTGTGGTGGCTTAAGGTATTATTAGACCTGCTGCGCTGGGAAACCCACACCAAACTAGTGCAGTCCCAAAAGTGGACACCACTGTCTACAAAGAGGCCTGGCCAAGGACATGCACAGATTCAGGTCCTCAGGTAGTCTCCATGCCAATTTATGGAACCCTGGATGGAAAAGTAAAAGCTGTGTTTTCTGGGGAGGAGCCTCCATGGAGCACAATGGTCCTGCTGGGGAAGGAGTGTGCAGTTTGCATCCCTCTGTGCTAGAAATGGGGAATCTAGCCCCTACTAGATTAATTTAAAAATTTGGCTTTCTGTGGGAAGAAGCCAATGTTTCTGCAATCAAAATACACAGTTTTAAATATGCAGAATGAGGCAACTTAATATTTTTTCTAAAATCTTTCAAGAATAATGTTAACATTTAAATTCTGTAATCGGTCATTCACAAAACCTAACTCTTGGAATTTCAAGTGGGATCAATTAATCCAGTATAAACAACTAAAACTAAATACACAGGTGCACCTGTGTATGTGTATATCTGTATTCAACCGGTAGATTTGTAAAACTAAGTACTGTATAACATTTGACTTACAGGGTTAGCATAAAGGAATCCTCTGTAGCCAAACTAGGATCAGTGTGCCGTAGGATTTACAGAATATTTTCCCATGCGTATTTTCATCATCGGCAGATATTTGATGAATATGAAGTAAGTAACTGACTACTTTGCATTTACTTTCATTAGTGCATTTACTAAAGTGATGCCACGCATTGTTCTTCTGCAGTTGTTACATATTTTCTTCTCTTAACACTTTCACTTCACATACCTCCTTAGCCAAGGAAAGTACAGTTCATAATAGATTACATGTATATAAGAATTGTGTGAAGTTTCACATGAATGACTTTGGTCTTCAAACTAAGCAATTTCATTTGTGCTTTTTTTAATCCTGTTTATTATAGTTCTCCTAAATTGGGTAGAAGTTCACTATACAGAAGCAGAAAGCTTTACAAGAACTTTAATACCGTCAGTTCAATGACACTTGTTATGAAAATTGCTTTCCTTTGAGTGTTACAGGAAACCCATAGGATTATTATCATTAAAAGTAGAGAAATATTTGTTCAGTTTACTTTATCCATTTGACAGCACTTGTGTACAGTCAGTTACTTGTTTGTGTATATCTTTCACATAGTAGTAGAGGAAACATTTTAACAGTTAAGAAGTCTGATGCTAAAGCCACAGACTCAACAGGGATCTCAGGGGCATATATGGTACTTGTAACTATTTTTTTTAACTGACTAGAGTCAGGAATGGAGGGCTTAGAGGTGTGAATGGTAGTAAAAACATGGGTAAGGACTAGCATGGGGAGGAGCACAGTGGGTGCAAATTCCACTGGAGCCTGTGGACTGTAGTAGCAGCTAAAGAATGGCTCAGCTCACTGTTTAGTTGGGGTGTATATGTGTGGTGGGGGAGGGATTTAATTACCACAGGTAGGCGCCTATATACAGCTTTTGTTAGGGCTTTGCATAGTGAACCAGGATATAGTTGACACAGAATTGCTTATCTGATTTCATCCTTGTTATAGTGGGACTTGAATATTTTTAACACTTTTAACACTGTGTGTTATGCTTTTAACACTGTGTTATGAAAATAAAGCTTAAATAGGTCCTTGTGTCCACTCTTATGAATATAAAAGGGGGAAATAAAACTATTTTACTAATGGATTCCTTGTGGTATTATTATTTAGTTGTAAACCACCCAATGTTCCTAAAACTTACAAAACCAAGGGGACAATTTATTTATGCTCCAGGATTTTTATGATAAATTTCCCACAATTCTGTTTGAAATATTCCCTTCTCTTATATGTCATAATGCATTTTATTTTATATTGGAATTTAAATATTTTTTTTCCATCCTCAGAATGAAACCTTTTTGTGTCACCGGTTCACTAAATTTGTGATGAAATATAATTTGATGTCCAAGGATAACCTGATTGTACCAATTTTGGAAGAGGAGGTGCAGAATTCAGTGTCTGGGGAAAGTGAGGCATGATGGGAATTGTGGTACAGAAAGCAACTGTACTGAACACACAATTGACATTATGTACTGTATATATCATTTTAGACACTTCAATCATGTATCCTTATTATAGCTTTGTTTAGTATACTTTTTGTATGCTGTGTGCATTGCCTTTTAATATGGGAAATACTTTAAGTTATTCATGAACTGTATAGTCATCAATGTGGCACTCATGGTTTTTAAATAAAATTAGTATTATCTGTTTATAATACCTGTTAATAAAATAATTACAGTTGTGTAAAATTGCTGCTAAACAATCATTGGATCACAATCCTCAAATGTGTCTGATTAAAAAGATAGGTGAGACTAAGGTTTCACACAAGCTATTTTCTAATGAAATAGCAATGTTAGCCTTAGTTCTGAGTTTAATACGTACCTTAAATTTAGAATCCTGCAGGAAGGTCCTTGTAATGTAGCTTATTCCTAATTTTAGCTCTTACTTTTTAAAAAATAACTCATTTGTTTCTAAGTTTTACTTCTGCTTTTGGGCGTGAGTATATAGTATCAACTATTCTTGTATGTGTATATCCAAATATTAAACACAACTACAGTATTAGTAATACCAAAAGGATAACTTTACTATGCTACCAAAAGTATATTTTTGATCTAATGAGAGACAGTTGTGTACTTTTTGGACTTGCCTTTCTGTAACAGTAGAGGCCTGTATACATCATGGAAGTGATGTGTTGAGTCTTAAGGCAAGGAAAGATTATTTTTTCTTGTGAAAGTCCTCCACTTTCGTTCCTCCCCGACTTCTCAAAAGAATAGCAGTGGCTGAAAATAACTTTTCCTCTTGCCTGTAGTAAGGTACTTAGTGGTTTTATACCTGTGCATATCTATAGTAACTGCTTACAGATTATACCTCACAATGTTCATATTACACTACAGAACAATGTACTAGCATAGTCTTGTTTATAGTCTTAGCAAAAAAATTGAACTCTAGCCTTGCAATACTTTGATTCACGTTGAGAGTATGACTAACCGTGTGCTTTCATCCATTCACCTGGATTGTATCCACTAAGGTGAAGTGCATCCATAGTTGGAGTCGTTTGCAGATTTGCAATAACTCACAAGTTCCATGAGTGCTGCTTAATGGTGTTGAACTGTCCAGAATTTGATTAGAATTAAATGTTTTAAAGACTATTCTAGCAGACTTATTGTTAATGGTGTACATCAATGAAGAGAATCTAAAAGCACTAGCAGTGTTCTTTTATTAAATGGATCTTGCCTAGATAAAGTTAGTTTTGTGGCTTCTTCACATAGTAGAGACTTATGTTGTCATGGGCCTGTTTATGTATTGAAACAGGTTAAAGTGTTGGCCTTAGTGGGCCAAGCCATTTATCTAAACTATACCTCCTCTTGAAGGTGTGTTTACCTGGGAATGAGAGCTAATTTATTTTTGAATAGTAATTTCTTCAAAATATACTGAACATGCCTTAAGTATTAAATACAAAATATTACAAGTCAAGTATACCCTAAGCAACTGTACCATCTGGATATAAAATGAGAACATGGAGAGAGAGAGGTTTTAAAGTGCTTATACAGTGCTGCCTTCCTGGGCAGATATTTTTTGTGTGTTTTCATTTTTAAAATTGTATTTAATGGTCAGCAGGGTCACTGCATCAGATGCGCTCTTAGTGACTAGCTATTGTTTGTACACTTGAGGTTTATCTTATACAGGTCAGATGACTTGATTTGATATCTTGAAATTTGTACTGAGGGTAGAGGATTACACTTTGGAGGTAATAAGATGTATTTAGCTTTGTAACAATCTGCTGTTGCAAGATAGACCCTAGGACATTTCTGTTGTACAGCCACTTTGACAAACTTACATTGGCCTGGGACAGGCAAAAAGCTGGTGCTCTTCACTACTAAACATTTTTTGTAAAATTGAAGATAGTGGAATGGTGCTCAGAACTTCATTAACACCTTAAACTTCTCGCTTCCCCTTCTCTCATGCTTTGAGTTCTAGTAAAAGCCTCCAGAACTGTTAATCTTGTTTGTTCTCATTCACATAATTAATATGTCATACTGTAAAGTTGACTCACTGTACTATCTAAGCTGAATATAAACGGCCTCAGTGAAACACTGCTTATATTTTCCTTGCTACTGTTTACATAAGTACTCAGACAGTGTACATACATGAACCTGAGTGGTACCACAAAACTTTAGTTAGCCTAAGCAAACCATTGATTTGGTTAGTAAATATTTTAATGGTTTCACTTACAAATTTGCATTCTACATAATAGGGAAATTGAGCTACATTTGACTTTTGAATTAAGTTTTAAAACCAAGAGGCTAAAATTAAAAAAAATTCTTTTTCCATACCAATATATTTTGCTAAATGATTCATTTCCCCCCCCCCTTTCTTCCAAGAATACAGATAACTGGATATTTCATGCTTTGTAGAGTAAGTTCTGCGCTCTCTCATTTCTGGATACAAAATAGATTTTGAGCTCAAATAATATTCCTTGTTTAAGAATGTAGAAATGTTGTGATTTGCTCACAAATCTGTTACTCTTCCCAGAGGCTGGGGCTAGAATTTGCATTTATGCCCTGTCTTGCTTCAGTAAAGAGCTAAATGATTCAAGAATACAAAGAAGGGTAAGGAAATTCCTTTCATAGACCACCTCCCTAGACATTATTAATACAAACATCTAAATAAGTGGCCTGATTATAAGCAAAGGACAGCTTTCAGTGTTTTTCCCTGAACGATCTGTCTCTTCTGATTCATGGTTTGATTTGTATTACTTAGCCACAGTAATTCTGCTTGTCAACATTAAACAGATACTAAGAGATTTTAATTCAAAATGTCATGCCAGTTTTCTGTTTGGACAAAACAAATCAGTATTGAAAATCAAAATTCCAGCTACCCCTTCCATGCTGTGGACTAAGCAGCTGGGAATTGTTAAAACGGCAACCTGAACTACTTTTTTGCTCAGAAGAGGAAATGTACCAAATATAAATAAAATAACTAGTGTTTGATAGAGTTTAGAAATCTAATCAAACTCCTGCTTTGTTTTATGCACCATAAAAATTGTTAAAGGGAAAAATTATAGCTTGATACGAGATCTCATCTCCTCCTGAGTCTGAGTGGCATAAACTACTGTGGTCTAAGTAAGCCAAAACTTTCAGTTCTAGCCAAACATAATTAAGAAAAACTGATAGCTGAATTGGTGTAGTTGCCTCTAATACTAAGAAACTCCCAGTCCCAAATACAAAAAGGACCTCAACTTTACAAAGAAGCCACTAAAAATCTGGTTATGTATATCGCACCTGAACTGCGGGAGGTGTTGGGATTTTTTTTACACAGGAGGTATTCACAAATTGTAGTGAGAATGAATCAGTTATATCTATGTGATGGACACAGTAGACCATTATGTTTAGACTCGTACATGACCAGAAATTCTATATGTGGACAGGAAATAACTTAGGAATTGAAAATGTAAGGTCTTTAGAAGTTTATGAACAGTCTAATTATATCCCAAACCTCTACTTTTAATAGTTTTTAGTGTATTTCTGTTATGGTGTATAGACAAGGGACCCATTTGTAGCTCACACATGTAAAGTCAAATTCCTGTTTTGACACTGTGTAATCAAGTTAGTTACTTGACTTTTGTTTGGAGAATTAATCCATGTGCCAGTAAATAATTCAAGCTTGATTCTTAATACTATTTCAGTAATTTTGTAAATACTGTACTAGTTCAAATAAGAGAACATATGTTGTCTACCTGATAAAGATATAAATTACACACAAACTGGAGTATGAATATGAAAAATTAGTGACTTGCCAGTAGTCTTAGTCTTCCTGATTAAGTTTGTAAAGCAACAAGAACTGTCTCCCATATTGAGACAGATGCTGGTTCTAGTATTTATAAGGAGTGGGTATTATCTTAATGCAATTGTCCCTTTTGAAATCTATCACTTCATCCAAAACTATGAATTTAAAAGTATGTTTTTTCACTTTAGTGCATGGATGGCTTTAAGTCTCCTTACTTATACATGAATGAACATTAAAATGCAATACGAAGCTATTTAAATGGGCCTAATAAATATTCTCAAAAGGTACTGCATATAGTAGTGCTAAGGGTGATTAATACACTGAAGATTTAGCTTCAGTCAAAGATCAGATTTGCTTGTACAGGCCCCACCTGAAAGAGAGAGGCAGGGTTTTGTGTTCTCAGGTGCTGGCAGCCAGAGTACCAGCCTTCTGACACATTTTCCTTCTATGGGATAAAGCTGTGCCTCTCAACCTCTGAAATGGAAATAAAATCTCACCGCTGCCTGAGTTTGACTTGGTTTATACTGTATTTTAATCTTGTGTTTCAATGAAGGTTTAGTCAGAGAGAGAGTTCCAACTTTAACTTAACCCTTTTGGGGGGAGGGAAGTACATTTTTAGGTAGAGATGTATGAATCCTAAGTATAGTTCAATTCCCATAAAATCTTTAAGAAAAAAAAAATACAAAATATATGCAATGTTCATTGGTTATGGGGAGATGAGGAAAAATGGAGAAATCCATAACAGAAAATATTAAATAGAAACAGTGACAAGAAATAATGTGGATGGCAGATGAAAAGAGCAGCGAGGAAGGGAGCATTTGAGACAGATCCATTCTCACCAGAATTCTAATTTGGAGAGTAGAATACATATTGAGAATGTGTGATTGACTGCACCTGTATGACAACATTTGTGACCAGGAAGGAATGTTAAGTGTAATTTAAATAATCCAGTTTATTATTACATGAAATGAAAAACATGTAGACTTTGCTGATTCTGAAAATACATTGACTCAAAATTTGTCTCGTTCAAGGTTGTAAAAATATACTCCTAAAGTTGAGTTCCTACATCCTTACTAAGGCACTTGAATAAATTGCCTGATGTTTAAAAAGTGATCAGCACTCTATCACTCTTATTCACTGAGGGGAGTTGTTGGTTGTTTAGTAATTTTGATCCCACTGTTTAGGCATCTAGCTTTTTGAAACGGCCCATATTAATAGTCATTGCTGTCTTTAAGCTCTTTTTGGTGAAGTATGGTGCATTTTATGGGTTAAATGTTCAAAGCTATTCTTTTGTATACATGTAAAGCCATTTGTATGCACAAATCAAGTAGTCACACATTTAACTATACAATTCACAAATGCTAAATTGAGACCTACCTATATAATCACATACATATGTAAAATCTGCTAGAGCAATTTGGAAGGCACTTTTGAAAACTTGTCTCTTAACGTCAGCTGATTACTCTTTGAAAAAAGTTTGTTTTAAATAATGATGTGTGAATTAAGTTATGAAAACTTGCACAGGGACATCACAGAGTCCTATTTCTGCTAGTATAATGCACAGACACCTGCAGTGTAAGGTGCCTACCGCCTAGCAATATGCTTCAGCCCTGAACTGGTGGGGGTCATCTCATACAATGAGAAGATAATCCATGTGCATTCAATCCTTGCATTTCTTCTGAAACTGCCAAAAAGGTTGCCAAATAGTTCCACCTTTGGCACTTGTTTTATTTTGTGGCTCATTAATTGGGAGCTGCCATATTAAGCAATATTATGCTATACAGTACCTTTCACCCATATATCTCAAGAGACCACGTGAAGGAAAATGAAGCTCCAGTGAGTTTTCTTGCTTTGCTGTCTCACTCGCTCACCTGATGTCTAGACTAAGACCTGGATTCATACAGAGTTGCTGTCACTAGGTTTATTTCCTTTAGTACTGACTTAAATTCATCATGGTTCTGGAGTTCATTAGGTCATTGTGGGTCTAAGTATATTGTTCCCAATGAGGGCTCAAGGCCGGCTGCTGAAGCTTTCAAGTCCCTCTTTTCTAAGTGTGTCTTCTATGTTCATGCCTCCAGGATTTCTTGGGAAGAAAGTCTTACCCAGAAATGCTACTGCTGCATTAACTTGAGGGAAAATTGGGAGAATCTTTGGGTTTTGGAACCTTCTAGAATTTCAGGGATTGCTGACAACCATTTCCCATTCCTCCCTAGAGATTTCTTCAAAGGCTGAGTATACAGGGGGTGGTAAATTTTGTGTCTTTGTGTTGGATAGGAGATATCCCTTGGCTTTACCCCACTCACCTTCTCTCTGACTGGATTTCACTGGTTTTACCACTTTTCTCACATTTTCATGCATGCCTGGCAGAAAGAACCTCTCCTGCGTCTCAAGTTTGGGGTTATGATCTGAAGTTGAGAGTTTGGGAGTAGTCAGAGCTTGTGGAAGGAAATGAGGATCGGGAGTGATTTTTGCCTTTTTTCCCTTTTGGTGGGAGAATGATTGTTCCTGCAGGAGAAGGGGTCTCTTTTTTGACGGCAGCTCCCCTTGAGGTGATATCCCATGCAGCATGTCTTTAGCACAGTCCTTCCTCAACAGCGTACAAATAATGGGAGGGAAGGGCAGGGGAACATTTGTAAAAAGGAGGAGAGTCTAAAACGGTGCCTGATGCCTTGTTAAGTTACTTGGTTACCCAGTTGGGAAGCTGAAATGGGAGCCTGCAGCTCTTTGGCAGTAGTCTGGATGGAGTTTCTCTGGAAAGTCATTGATTGGTGATGTTGGTTCAGTTGTTGTGTCCCAAAAGCTGCAGAGGACGGATTTAACCTCATGGACATGTTTCTTGAGGCAGTGTGGCTAGTGGGAAAGTCTGAACAGGCTGTCTAGACTCAGACTCTTCCCTTGACTGAGGTCTTGCAATCTTGGGGTAATCATAGCAGACTCCTCCTGTGTGTGAGAGAGCCTGTCTCCACACAGGTGGAGCAGCTCCTGGCCTTTGGCTTGCTCCACCCATTGGAGAGGAGTACAGCTGGTGGTCCTGTTCAGGGAACAAAGTCCTGGACTCATCTAGTCTGACCTCCTGCACATTGCAGGCCAGAGAACCTCACCCACCCACTCCTGTAATAAACCCCTAACCTCTGGCTGAATTACTGAAGTCCTCAAATCATGGTTTTAAGACTTCAAGTTACAGAGAATTCATCCATTTACACTAGTTTATTTAATTATGCTAGATTAGGGTCTCTGCTAATCTGACCTGAGGGAAAATTCCTTCCCAACCCAAATATGATGATTAGTTAGATCCTGAGCATGTGGGCAAGACCCTCCAGGCAGATATGTGGAAAAGAATTATCTGTAGTAACTCCCTGTGTAGTGTCCCGTCTCTAGCAGTTGGGGATTTTTGCTACTGGCAGTTGGCAATGGGCCACATGCCATCATAAGCAGACCCATCATACCACCCCCACCATAAACTTTTCAAGCTCAGTTCTGAAGCCAATTAGGTTTTTTGCCCCTTCTGCTCTCCCTGGAAGGCTGTTCCAGAACTTCACTCCTCTGAACGGTTAAAAACCGTCACCTAATTTTGAGCCTAAACTTGTTGACGGCCAGTTTATAGCCCTAGAATTGTCAGTCCCCTAAGGAAAAGGTGAGAGAATGATGAAAGCTGTTGTCACTATTCCCCCAAATGAGCCATTAAAGCTAGGATTGCACTGGATAAGGCAGCAATGCTGAGCTGTTGCTATGGCCACACTGCTGGAGGCAGGGAAGCTGGAGGAAGAGTGGAAAGGGCCTGGCCAAACCTTGAGCCTCAGGGACATGTCTAAGTGGCCTCTGGCATTTTCAAGGACAGGTGCAACCCAATCTCTTGGAGTAGGCTAGGGGTCAGGATTCAGAATGAGGTTGCACCTGGTTGTTGGCTTATAGAACCAGAAAATTGAAAAAAGAAATGAATTAGTTTTTGAAGTCCTCACTTAGATCCTGTTTCAATTATAAAAACATAAGTCAACTGTGAGTCTAAAAGTAGTCAAGCTTGTGACACATTATTGGTAAACAGAGTCAGACTGATAAACACTTCTATCTGTGTTCATTAGCAGTGTAAACTCTTTGTTACAGAGGTATCAATATGCCCTGGTCACAGAAGCCAAAATGTCATTTTACGGCTGTCTGATTTGTCATTCCTCAGCATTGACTGCCTCAGATATTGCTGCAATAGGGAAGATTTGCCATAGGCAATGTCTATTTAATCTCAATTCCCAACATGCCCGAGTTACTATGTAATTGTACCCTAGAATGAAGTTAAATAAAAGGTCTAGTCATCAGCTGCTTAAAATGCCTGCCTGCTGGCAAGTTTTCAGTAGTAGCTAGCCTATTCAGTATAGCAACAGTGCCAAAAGCTTCACAAGACATTCATTCTTCATTGGCTCTTCTTTAACAGTCTAGTGTTAACCTGAGGGGGGCCCAAATTGCAGGTCTCAAACCAAAGCTTACCAGGATGCTGTCATGTCCTCAACCTGGTCCTTTCGTGACTCATGGGGCCCCTGTTCAAACTGCTGGCCACGTGCTCCCTCCTGTATCTTTCCTGGAAGACAGCTTTCCTGGTCGCCATTACATAGGTCTTCCACAAGGATAAGGTGCAACTCTGACCGCACCTGGCCTTTCTCCCCAAGGTGGTGTTGGCCTTTCACACCAGCCAGGATATTTTCCTGCCCGTTTTTTACCCTAAACCTCATGCTACTCCCAGGAAAAGCGAATGCATTCCCTCAATGTCCACAGGGCTCTGGCTTCCTACATCAAGTGCACTAAGCCATTCAGGAAATCGACCCAGCTCTTCATTGCAGTGGCGGACTGGATGAAGGGCCTCCCCATCTCCTCTCAAAGAATTTTCTCCTGGATCAAGTCCTGCATCTGTGCTTGCTATGAGCTGGCGGGTGTGATGACCCCAGCTGTCACCGCACACTCCACTAGGGCCCAGGCCTCATCAGTGGTGTTCCTGGCCCAGGTACCGATCCAGGAAATCTGCAGGGCAGCAACTTGGTCCTCGCACTACACCATCGTCTGGCACGCCAGAGACAATGAAGCTTTCGGTAGAGCGGTACTCCAGTCAACATTCCTTCACTCCAACCCCACCACCTAGGTAAGGCTTGGGAGTCACCTAATTGGAATCGATATGAACAAGCACTCGAAGAAGAAAAAGCGGTTACTCACCTTTGTAACTGTTGTTCTTCGAGATGTGTTGCTCATATCCATTCCAAACCTGCCCCTCTTCCCCTCTGTCGGAGTAGCTGGCAAGAAGGAACTGAGGGGGCGCTGGGTCAGCAGGGTCATATATTGAGCGTCATGCAGGCACCACTCCAGGGGGCTCCACAGCAAACCCGACAGATGCTGCTAGGGGAAAATCTTTCCAACGGCCGTGCACATGGCGCGTGCACACACCTAACTGGAATCGGTAAGAGCAAGCACTCGAAGAAATAAAAGTTTTAAACAGCAAATTTTCTTACCAATACCAGCTTGATTATTGAAAA